CCCCAAAACCCCAAAACCCCAAAACCCCAAAACCCCATCACAAAATATATTTTACAAATTTAACATTTATAAAAATTCTAAAAATGAGAAGAAATGGGAGTACTCAACCACAGAATGCGTGGAGTAACGAACTAAAGGGAATGATCCTCGAAACTGACTTTACCCTCAAAGGAAATGGGATTATACCAATGACCAGTCAAGGCAAGAGAAGGAGCGTCAAAAGGAAAGCAAATAATAATGGCTGGGTCTTTACTAGCAATACCAAAAATAAAATGGGAACTAAAGGTAGAAGAAATATAAAACCTCAAACTCTTGCTGAAATGCTAGCATTTTCAAGGCCTTCTACACAAGGAGGGAAAAATCTAAAAGGCTTCTTTAGAAACAGTGGAGGCTCTCCGAAAATATTTAAGGTGAATAATGGATTTCTCAGAAGACAAGTCTCTCATGGTAAAATGCAAAATCCTGATAAACCTATAATAAATCATCTTGAGAGCACTGTCGGCTTAAAATCATCACAGGTTACTCTTTCTCCAAAGTTTAAAGATTATTATCAAAATCAGAAGAAGATGGTAGCTAATTTAATAGATGTAGAATCTCCTGTTGACAACCTCACAGCAGCTAGTGGAGCATCTAATAAATTAGCTAAGGCCGTGAAGCAGCCAATTCAAAATGCCTTTAAAAATACTCAAGGCTTACAAGGGTCTATTTATTCTGTTTCAAACTCAACTGACATCAGGAATAAGATGGAAAAGGACTCGCAAAATACTAAAGAAATGCAGCCAAGCGAGGCAATGGGAGCTTTTGATACTATTCCTAAAAGAGCTATTACCCAATCAAGTAAAGTGAGAGTGAACAAGGAAGGATTCAATAGGATAAGAGAAGCCAAAAAGAAAGCAGGCACTCTGATGCTCAGCCAAGGTAGTAAAGCTGTCTTCCAATATCAATTTGAGATGCAGAATAAGGAAGAAGAAAACTGATTTAGAGATCTCTATGACTGTTTGAATGAGCTCATTGACTAATGATGCTTATTTACATTACCAAAAGTTTCTATTTCCATAAAATTCATTAGTGATAGTGTGCTCCCATATTAGAGATACAGTATGGTCTGAATATAGCTCAATTTTATTAAAGTTAAAGGGGTTTTGGGGTTTTGGGGTTTTGGGGTTTTGGGGTTTTGGGG